CTTATTAGTACACATCTTAACTTTTATTCTATTAAGTTTTAAGGTAAGAGATTAAGTATTTAGTACAGAGTAGCTTTCTACACTCTTAAGGACTTTTATTGTCTTCTACACCCTTTATAATCCTTAGTTTCTCCTCTAGTTCCTTATTGTTCTGTTTATTATAAAATGTGTACTCATTTACTATAGCTCCTTAGTTTTTTTAACTCCTCTTGTATTCCTTCTTATTCCTTAATATAAATCCCAGCTAGTAGCTTTAGAATATAGTTAGTTATAAGGTTGTAATATACATTTGCAGTTTGAGTGTGTTATCAATCTAGAGACACTACTCTCCTAACATTAGAGACATAACTACATATAGTGTAGTATAGTTACAATAATATTATAAAATACAACTTATATAAGAGGAACAGTTATATAAGAAGTATATGTACTATAAGAGGAACTTTAAATAAAATTATATTGTTTTACAAGACAATAGTATTTTGTACTTTAAAAAGCTTCTGAGTAGCTAACTTGCTATTTATTTTTAGTAAGAGTAAGATTCTATAATACAAAAGAAAACTTACAAATATTAATAGACTAGTACTAAGTATATTAACCTAATACTTATTCTGAAGAGTACTAAGTAATTCTAAAGCACAACTTGTAGTAAAAACATTAATATCTAACAACTAATACTGTTTAGTATAAATACTAAAGTCCTGAATTTTCTTGAGAGGAATCAATTAGTATAAATACTAGTACTAAAAACTGTAAAATAAGCTAGTAGGACATAAGTAACACTATTACTAGAGTCAAAGATCACACCTGTAGTAAGAACATACTATGTGAAAATAATGAAAGACTAGTATTTATACTGTTAGTCAAAAGAGCCAGTCCTAAAGAAATAGGTCTGAAATATACTAACAATACCTGAGAGGGTCTAGAATACTAAAAGGGACCTAAAAACACTTGTAGTCTTAATAGTAGATACTTATACAGTTAGTATAAGAAAGATAGAATTGGTAAGAGGACAAGTTAAGAAGTATACAACCTGTGTAATATGTGTCAGTTGTGTTGTATAAGATTACATAATGTAATAATATACAACATATTTACTAGACTGACTAGTTTGCCTTTAACTGTGTTTTTAGTAGCTAGAATTATAAATAACATCTTTTTCTTACTCATAAAACCTCTAAATAACTCTATGTACAACTATTACTCCTTATTTTAGCTTGTAAGTTACAGAAAGAAACTTATTTTACTTTAGTCTACATAATATGTATTAAGTATGCTTACATAATGTTTCAACATAAAGCAAGCAAGTCAAAAATGCTTAGAGGCCACCTAAGGTACAGACTATCTCTATTCTAATTAGAGAGCTATATGGCCCTTGTAGTCCCTCTAATTAGAAGGGAGTTTGGTTTTCCCCTCATACTGTATACAAATTACAATACTGAGTATAATACTGACTTAATAAAAAATATTTTGCTCAATAGACTATAATATGTGTAACACCCTGCTTAGATAACTCTGTGACAATACATATGTAATGTAAGTGTCTATAATGTGACACATGTCTTTACAGTATTGAGCTCATTATTGACACAATGAGCTCATCTATATTACTCATTTCTCAACCATTTATATTATTTCTTTTAATATTAGCTGTGTATATTATTATTCCAACTATATTTTCAATAAAATATGTAATTCTTAGTGAAAAATCAAAGAAAAAACTTGCTTTAGAACTTGTCTGCCTTGCTTAAGTAACAACGTGTTGCATGTTACGCAACTGGCTGATGTAAGCATGTTCAATGCCCTCCTCGGTGACTAAGGGAGGGCTTCCTTTTTCTACAACGTCCCTGTCAGTGTCTTTGAATCTTTTACTCCACATGCTAAAAACTAGAAAGATGGTTGCTTGTGGGGCTTGTACACTGGCACCTTTACAGGTAGGAGTTTCAATCTCCACCATAACATTCTAGCAATCTGCATTCTGGCTCTGTAAGCATTAGTTGTACAGCATCCGGTGGACTTTCACTATACCTTAGGTGCTGACGCCATGCGGGCGTCACTGGTGGTGCATTTGTTCAAAAAAAATTGCAAGACTTCAGACAGCACACGACGATGACAAATTGACAGTGTCTTGCTAGCAAGGCAGCGACATTCCAGGTATACTACGGATAGAGCGACGATGGCAGGTGAAAGGGTAAGAAAGAGGAATCAAAGTGGTTCTAGATAACGGAGGAACAAAGGCAGTGAAAAAGAAGATCAAACCCGAAACAGTGATAAAGTACATCCAGCGGTTGCGTTGAATAAAGGAAGAAAAGAGGAAGCAGGGATCGCACACAGATACAGGAAACAACCGCTGATTAGACGACAGCAAGAGGATTGATAAGGTCCGTAGCGTTTTTAAGATAAATCGTGGCGGTTGAAGTAATTGGAGACGAGGTTTTAGAATTTTAGGTGGTAGGGTACAGGTTGGACACGGGAATTACGAACTTAGAGTGACCCAGGTTTCTTTGCCTTCAGAAATGGCATCGAAGTTCTTGCCACTGCGCAGCCGCCTTTCTACCATCACAGGGGCCTCGTCAAGGTTGATTAACTTGTTTGAAGGCGGTGGGGAACCTTCAACCCAACCCTTCCAACCTCTCCTAGAGGCAATGCGCCTCTTGCGCGGCTTGGACTGCGGAGGAGGCGATGCCGACTTAAACGCATGGTCGAGAAGTGTAAGGCCATCCTCAGGAGTGCGTGGGTACTTGGAGGAGCCGAAGGACATGGTTGACAAAATTGACGGGCCGGGGGTTGGTGGTAAGGAGAGTTCTGGTGGCGGTGTGGGCGAAACGGAGCGTGTAGGGGCAACAGGGGGTCCACGTATACGCCAGAAGGACAACACGCTGCTGTTGACGGTTGGCACTGCAGCAATTCTACCATGTACTGTGGTTGCCGTGGATGGCCCTGCGGAGACTGCGCCCGCGCCGATGCTGATCTGGCGGCGCGTGCCGTCTGCCTGCTCTGCGCGTGCGTGCTGCTTCTTGAGCCGTTTCTTTTCCTTCTCCCTCTTCTTCCGTTCCAACCGTCTGACCCCCCTATCTTCCTCATTGCCCTCGACAGGCTTGTAGGGACAGATGCCTTTGAGGGGGCTTGTGAGGACGTCGCGAGGTGGACGCGGGTCGAAATTGCCCGCGAGCACGGTGGTGGCCGTGCGACGGCGCTTCATGGGCGGTGGACGCGACGGATAGCTGTAGAGGGCGGACATGGTGGATGGAGTGGAGGACAAGATGGGCATTGGAGGGGGGGAAGAGAGCAGACGTGCTTTTAGATGTGTTTGGACGTGCTATTGTGCTGTATTAGACACACTCTCAGACACTCACTACATACTACACATTTGGAAACTGTTTCTAATAATACCGTCAGAGTCTGAGCACACAAATAAAAATTCTGTTGACATATTAAGTATGCTTGAACACTGCTCTGACATACTTCCATAAATGTGCTACATAGTCTCTATTTGCATTCTTTGTTTTTCCACACCCTAAAGTATCTCAAAAAAAATTGACATTTCTGTTCTGTACCCTATTACTACACATTTTGTTGTTTGCTATCTTGTGTATCTTGTCTTATCTTCTTACTATGTTATCACAATCTTATGAATAACTTGATGTCTTCATATTGTTCAAATGTCTTGAAAGAATTATAATTCAAGTATATGTATTTGCATTTTGATACACTTCCATTTGATTTCTGACAGAATAAAAATAGAGTGGTCAGACTTTACAATTCAAGGCACAATTCACTTTACAATTCTGGAAGGTGGGTCATGATGTGAATCCTGCCTGTTGGTCTGACCAGCATAGATTCACATACAGGATTCATACTATATATCAACTATAGTTGCTGAAGTCCGGTCCTGGTCCGGTCCGGGCATACTTCACCTGGACTCAGGACCGGACCAAATCTGCGGTCCGGGAGTGTCCCGGACTGGGGACCGGACCTATGTGGACGGGTAGTGGACCGGACCCAAGTTCCAGTCCGGTTCTGGACCGGTCCATAACCGGACCTGAGAGAAAAAAAATTTAAGAGATGAGTTAGAGTATTATTCTTTGTATCTAAGTACAAAAGTAATATATTTTTGTATATACTACATAATCTACAGACTAGACACTGTAGTGGTTTTCCTGACGCAATTCTGAGGCTTCGGCGCGAGCCTCGCGACACGAGTCCTGAAGCTGGACTACAACTGCCTCTAAGCTGGTTACTGCGATTTACGGACACTTAGTTGTCGGAACATGAATATTTAGGTACTTAGCAGCAGACGGACCTGTCTCTTCGAGGGTGGCAATATAGTTGGCACGGCGTGCACGGAAAGCAGCCTGAGCGTCAGCGTTCTTCTTCTTTCTGAGAGTGATTTCGGACATCTTGTCTAATTTGTCAGGGGCAGGGGCATTGGCTGGCTGCTTGACTGGGCGGCTGGGACTGCGGCGTCTTTGGCATAGGACGGGAGAGGAGTGAATATACATAAAGGGAATAAATATTTTGGGAGACAATAACCAGATAGGAGAGTCAAGTTTAGTAGCCATACATTGAACAGTAAAGAACAAGGAATAAAGTTTTGCTTTGCTTGGACTG